ACATTATGCAGTATCTGGTGATGCTGCCTTAAAGTCTAATTTGCATTATATTAGTTTAGCTTAACTGATTTTCTTTTAGCTACTGTTTGTATAGTATGTCTTTTACAAACTTTAATCTACCTGTATTCTTATATTTAAGATTTTTTTTTCTTTTTTGGTGGGGAGAGGTAATTAGGTTTATTTATGTATTCATTTTAATGGAGGTACTGGGGATTGAACCCAGGTCCTCGTGCGTGTCAAGCGTGCACTCTACCACTGAGCTATACCCTCCCCAAGATTTTTTAAAGCAGTAAAGAGTTGCTTTTTAAAACCAATCTAACACTCTTTTTTAATATGGGTGTTTAGTCCGCTTATATTTAAAATAGGTACTTAAATATTTGTGTGTCAAAGATATCATAGTATTTGTTTTCTGTTTCTCCCATATGTTCTATGTTCCTTTTCTTTCTCTTTTTCAAAAACGTTTTTCGGATTGTTTTTATTATTCTGTATTCCACTATATCACTTCTTTTGCATATATAATTTAAAACTGTTTCTCCATGATTACCATGGTGATTACAGTATGTATCATTGACTTGTTAAAGCTCAATATAAATTAATTCTTTCACCATTTCCTGAACAATGCAAGCATCTTAAAATATCTTCATTTCTCTGTTCCCACACTGTGTGCCATTTTTGTGGTGGTGGTTTAATTCTGCATGTTTAAAACTCCACAAGACCTTACTGCTTTATACAGTCATTGTCCACTTACTTTTACCCATGTATTTACCCTTTCCATTGTTCTTTATTTCTTCCTGCATATCCATACTTCCTTTTGGGTTTATTTTCATTCTGTTTTAAAAATTCCCTTTAGTATTTCTATTAGTGTGGGCCCGTGGATGAATGATTTTTTCCAGGTTTTGATCAGGTCAGAAAATGTATGTATTTTTCTTTCATTTTTGAAAGATATTTTCATTGGGTATAGAATTTTAGGTTAACTGTTGTTTTCTTTCAGCATTTAAAGATGCCTTTCTATCATCTTCTGGATTTTATAATTTATGTTGGTGAGTCAGTTGTTAGTCTTAGTGTTGTTCCTTTGGAAGTAATATGGCTTTTTTCTCTCTAATTGCTTTTTTCTTTGTTTTTGGTTTTCAGCAGTTTTCCGATGAGGTGCTTAGGTGTGGTTTCCTTTGTGTCTATCTTCCTTGGGATTAAGTATATGTCTTTCATCAGTTTCAGAAAATTTTCAACTACTGTCTTCAAATATTGCTTTTTCCCTATCCTTTCTCTTCTGTCTTTCTAGGACTCTAATTTCTTGTATTTAGGCTTTTTCACCATGTCCCAGATGTCTATAACTCTCTTACCTATATTTTTCATTCTTTTCTCTCTATGTACTTCAGTATGGATAGTTTATACCGACCTGTCTCCCAACTCTTTAATCCTAGAGTGAGCTGTGTCTAATCTGCTGTTAGGCCATCTGTTGTGTTAAATTCATGACGGTATTTTTCAGTCCTAGGACTGCAATTGCATTCCTTTTTTAGAATACCCAAGTTTGGTGATTACCTAACATTCCACCACAGTCCCAATGCAAAATCTGGCTGTTTTACACAGATCACCCCATGCTGTTACAGAAACCAAAAACTTTTCTCATTTTTGTTTAAGCCAGTTTAATTGGGTTTCCAGTTAAATGCAGCTGAAAACTCCTAACTGAAATTGTTGAGATAGCTCCCTTGATGATGTCATGATGGTTGCAGCAACTCCAGGTGTCAAGTGCAGGCATGATTTATAGAGAGTAAGTGGGATATAGACTGTCATGCATCTCTTTCTACTAGGAGAATCCCCAGTCAGAAGGCCTGGTTGTATCTCATGTCCATGCCTAAGCTAACCCTGACACGTGGAATGGGATCAAAATGATTATCCATAACAATCTTTACTCATCCCTGAACTTGATGAGATCTTCTCTGAGCAAAAGACTGCAGTAGGTGAACATCCAAACAAATTTAGGGCTCTCTAAGCAATTAAAAATATGAGAGGACCAAAGTATTGAGTAGACAATCAATGCTGTTTACTTCACTAACAGATATATTTATTTTCTGTAAATAAAAGGATGTGTGTGTGTGTGTGTGTGTGCATAGAAAATATTAGGGAAGGTATGTTTCAATCTGCTAACATGGTTTAAATTTTAAAATGGAACTTTATGGGGTGGAATGAATAGAAAAAATTTTCACTTTTTACTTATGATATTTTTATTAGTTTATGTTACTTTGGTCATTTAAATTTAAAAGGGCTGCTTCAGTCTTAAAATGGACTGCTCAGAAATGGAACTAGGATTAAAAAAGCAGTCAGAGGGGTGGGGCAGTATAGCTCAGTGGTAGAGCGCATGCTTAGCATGCAAGAGGTCTTGAGTTCAAACCCCAGTACCTCCATTAAAAAAAAAAAAAAACAGTTAAAAAAAGTCAGAGAAGTACATGTTGGTGGATCCCGCTCCCAGACCTGGCCCATGCTGCAGTCACTCAGGTGCCAGTGGCAGGTTTCTCCTCACTGGGGATTTGGAGGCATAAGGCTACTAGAGCCTGATGTCATCAAATATTTAAACCATACGACTCCCTTCTCTATTTCACATCCTAAATTGGCTTCCTGTGCACATTTTCCTACAGGGGAAGAATTTGCTAGACAGGGCAACGTGAGCATTCTGGCCCCTTTGGCAGTTCCATTTCTCATCGTATATTAATGCATTGGTTCTTTTGCTCAGATAGCAAGCTAGGAGCTGAGTTAGTACCATCTACTTCCCAACCCTCCAATATATAGGCTCTCTCTTAGTACTGTTCAAGTCAAATTTATGAGCGTGGACCATGATGAATTCACCAAGGTAAATGTCACCTCTGAGGCCACTTGGCAGCTGGCCAGCCAGCCTGCCCTGATGACACTCTTGTCTCTTCAAGCACATTTCCTCCAGGGTCCTGTGCTTTCTAGCCACATTCATCTCAAAGAGCTGTCTCTTTCTTTATCCTTCATTCTATCTTTTCCTCTATGACTGCTAATTCTCTGTCTCTCTCCTCCTACCTCATCACCTAACCTTCCTTTATCTTTTCCTTTCTTCTGTTTTTCACCTTAATTAACCATGGTGTTGAATAATAAAATGTATCAGAAATACGTGCCAAGCCCTGTGCTGGGCCATACATATAAATTATATTCTGACCCCACAATAACTCTGAAAGTGTTTTTATCCTTATTTTACAGGGTGGAAGGGTGCGGGAGTAGAGGCTTATAAAGGCTAAGCAGTTGTGTTTGATAATGTAAAGGTTTTGCTTCTTAATTTTCTAAGTCAATAAATTAAATGTTTGATATTTCCTTTATCTTAGAAAATAAAATTTAAACATGATTTTTGCCTGTGAGTCGATTGTCCTAGGAAAAAAAATAACCCTATGTATGTTTATTTCTTTCTTAAACTGGAGAATGAAAGACAGAATGGAAGAGGAAAGAGACAAATCAGAGATGTTTCTTAAAGCAGCAGGGCTCCCCACTGCTCTTTGTATCCTTCCTGTCCTTTTCCCTGAGAGCAGGGCTTTGCCCTGATTTCTCTGGCGCAATCTTAGTCTTCTTCATGGAGGTGATGGTTTTCTCTGTGCAGCCAGGACAAACTTACTTTCTGCATCTGTGCAAAAGGAGGTCAAATTTTCAGCCCCTAGATTTGTAGCTTTCAAAAATTGGGGGATGGAAGTTGCAGTAAAGTTGAATATGCTTCCTGGAAGTCCAATTCTCTTTATTTGGATGTTGGATTAAACTGCTCAGCTCCAACAGGTATTTGTCCATCGTCCTGGAGGTAGTGAAGCAGAAGTAGAGAGAAACATTTCTGCCATCATTACTTCATATGGAGTTGGAAAGGAGAAGAGAATATTGGAATTTCTGGATGGGTTCCAGGCTCCTTCATTCTTACTCCAGGGAGTAAGGCTGGCTGTTTGTCTCCTGGAAACTCGAATAGTTGGATCTTGGTTATAGACTGGAGAGGTGGGCCGAGAGGCCTGAGTGCAGCAGCAGAGAAGTCCCAGGTGCAGTTGAAAATGGAGGGTCCGGAACCTGGTATGTTCAGCAACACAGACAGAGAAGAGTGACAGTGGTACTCCAGCTCAGTTAATTAAGCACCATGGCCAGAATCCCCTGAGCCCCAACCCTTGAGTTTGCTAATCCAGGGAGGGATCTAACCTCGCCTCTGGTTGACTGGCCCCTAGCACTTAAACTTTGCAATAAGCCACAGTGTAGTCTCCATCTAAAGCCCTCCTGAATTTCTTCACTGAGGTGTCTATTCCACTGCCTCTTGGTGAGAGTGGTGTCGACCTTGGAGCAACTATTATTAAGATCTGAATGATTTGCATATATCCACACACACCGGGGCTTCTCCGCTCTGATTTTATTATAAGTGAACTGTTCAGAGGAAGAAAGAGAAGGTTTATTTCTCTCCTTCTTTTCCTCTTTTTCCCCTCTTTCTGGGGACCTCAGTCTGGTGATTGCCCTAAGGTGCCTGCAGATGTGTGTGGTGGGAGAAGGCGGGAATGAGACTCCTAACAGCCAGGGGTTTGTTGCGGCCTCCTATGTGGTTTTCCCCAGACAATTTCCCCCATCTGTTTGGCTTCTGAACGATCCTTGTGAGGATCATAGGGCGTCTGCATTTTGTTTTCGCACATAGATCTGAACCTCTGGGCTAAAGTCTCTGGAGCTCAGGCAGGGGCTTTAGAGACTGCAAATGGGATGGGACTCCGTTTTGAAGAGAGGGATGAAGAGTGGTTGAGTGAGGACTCATTGTGAAATGAAAGGAGTCCTGGGTCTCTAAGCAGCTTCTAAAAATACCATCTCCCAGCGCTGGGGGGAGGGGGAGGGGAAAATCGAGCGTGAGGAGAATACAGATGCGAAGGAGGTGGGGGTGTAAGAGCCCTTCTTCAGGTACGTCTGATTTCAGAGGCCCCGCCTGCATCCACAGGCCGGCAGGATGCCACACCTCCTGCTTCCTCAGAGCTTGCGCCTCCTGCGGTCTCGGAGCCTCAGCCCCTCCTGATGACCTTTCTTTCTATGGGCAAAGTAGCCCAATTCCTCACAGCCACTCTGTCTACTGCTGCTGTCCAGCAAGTGTGTCTGTGAACTAGCAAGTATGCATGTACACATAACACACACACACACACACACACACACACACACACAGAAATGACACATGAAAGCGCTTGTAAATGGTAGTGTTCCATGATGCCAGGAAATTTAATTCTGTTTGGTGCTCAGGGAGGTATGGACTATGTATGGCAGGG